TTTAAAACACAGTAAAAAAAAAACACTGAATAAAACTTGCAAAACTCAGATCAGACCGGAGTGACTCGGGCGTAAATCGACAAACCCTTCTAATGGTTGTTAGTTCTTGGAGTATCACTTTATTTCGCGCTGGCATTGAGTCCTACCCCTGACCGAAACCTGCTTCGGTCCACTCAAACTCCAATTCGTTTTGCCGCAACTCTCGCAACGAATGGATATGCACAATCTGTTCGTAGCATTACATCATCATGACTGTTGTAAAGTTCATAGTACTACCTAGGTGCTTAAGACCATAGGCGCGTAGATTAAATGATATCCTTAACCAAAATCTCTGAAGAGAGGATGATCTTAGTAATGATCGGCACGTCCCGAAAGCTAAAGTTACTCACACAGTGCTGCTTAAAGATATAGAAAAGACATCTCAAACCCATAAATATTTAAAAAAAGGTCCCACGGGCGGCACCTCCTCTTTACTACTGTTTAACTTCTAATATAAATCACAACCTCCTCCTCCACCAGATGACATCGATTTGCAATGATGACTTGTTTTCTCAATGTTCCTTGACACCACCACCACTAAGAGATCAACGGCAACTGTTTTTACCACCTGAACCAAAGAGAAGTGCTGCGCAACATACAAGGCGATTAGCCGGTTGGTTGCAGTTTTTCTGCACCAGCTTGGTCTCCGGTTACCAGTAGCACGCAGTGGATGAGGCTACAGACTTGTCAGAACAACACACTTTGGATAGCCAGTGGATATCTTTTGATGTCCCTAAAAATCACCCACATAGTGAATAGCCTGAATACTTTCCGTTAGACATCACAACTCTTGTTCCGAGAATGCGGTCATTGAGTTCAACCACCACTCTTCGCAGATGAAGAGCTTCAACTGCCGCCAGAGGTCGGCATAACTCAGACACAATTAGAGTCCTGATATTGCAACTGATATGAATCTGGCCCACACAGCCGTCAATATTTGTTAGACTAGCTGATTAAGGGAGAGCTTAGTACACCAACAACAACAACAAATTCAAACAATCTTGCGGTACTCTAAGTAAAAAGGCTGAATCTGATTTACTGTAGGGGACACATATACATATGTATGTACATAAGTGTGTACATATGTATGTCAATGAAAACATGGCTCGATGGCATCAAATTCTATATAGCTCACATAACGTTGACATCTGCATAACAAATGAAGATTCATGCGCAAATGCTTCGCGGTACATTGACGATGTTAGTTTTGAGCGCTTAAAAGCCGCCAGCATTGCAATACAAATGTTCTGCCCATATTTTGCACTGGCATGCGTGACATCGATTAAACGATGGGAAATTTAAATATAGACGCTCCATGCCCGCACACTGCCGTTCCCACTTGAACTCGCACTAACCTTTTATTCGCTGGTAATAAGTTATGGCCAAGGGAAGCGCCTCTGTTAAAAAGTTAGTGATTTATGCATACCTACACCTGCATATACATACATAAATCTCAATCCATATTAAGCAAATACACGCTTTTACAATATATACATAGGTACATACATACATATGTGAACAGCGAAAAGAGTATAACAAGTCCAAAATGGCCATGAATAACATCCGATTAGTTGCTATGGAATACTGGCAATAATAAATAGATGGGTGGTGATTATAGTCAATGTCTAACACACTTCAGACACCTTCGCATCTGGACTAATTACTATCAAGCTCTCTATATCCATTTTTTTATTCCAATTGATTTACATTTATAATTGGGTGTTTTTTTTTTTTAATTGGCCATGGCTAGAACAGAATAGTTTTGTTTTTCGTGGAGTAAAATGCTGGAAGTCTGATCAAACATAGATTTATTCAGGGCTATCACAGAATCCATCGTAGCTTCGATTTTCGTGAAATCTACGAAAGTGCTATCACAGAATCCGAATGGCTACGAACGTAAATTCGAAATTCGTAGAGAGCCTTCATTGAATCCGTTCGTAATGAAGATTCGTACAGATACTCTACGACGAGATCATGCTGTCGGAACAAAATTTAAAATCACTCAATCTTAAAAATAGTGGAAGAAAGCAGCATTATTTTTAATATTAAATATTTATTATACTCCAAATTTGTTATAGTTTGATATAATTCCATATATTTGTGTAAACGTAGACGTAAAATACCAATGCTATACATACATACATATGTACATACACGCATTCATCTGCTAGACGCTATTTAATGAATTAATATCTTGCATGAATCGAGGAAATAATAGTTTAGCAACAATTTATTAGGAAATAAACCTAATTACTTTAATATCATAAAAATTTATTTAAAAAAAAATTTGTTTTCTATTTAAAATAATAATAATGGGTTTTCTTTAGAATTGAATGCTCTACAAAAGTGTCCATTGCGGTGTAATCCTAACTCCCACCAGCGAGGTAATACGGGTCACTAAACCCAATTTTTTCATGAAACTCTCACAACAACTTTGTCATTTACATTTTTTCTTTAGCTCTTGTTATTTTCGAGATCGGGGCAAAAAAACCAGAATTTCATAAAAAAAAAATGCGTTCAGTGAGCCATACTACCACGCTGGTGGGAGTTAGGATTACACCGCAATGGACACTTTCGTAGAGCATTCAATTCTGAAGAAAACCCGTTATTGACCAGGATTATACCATAGAATTCCTCTGAGCTGTAGACATTTTAAGAAAAAAACTGAAAGTTTACGTGTATTTTTTATGGAAAAACATGGCCTTGGGCGAGTACCTAATGTTATTATTAAGGGTTAAAATTTTCAAGGCACTTTTTTTAGGTCTTTTCCACAAAATTTCGAGATTGCAGTAAAAAGAACAATAGTCACAAAAAAACCGCCCTAATATACATATATATTATAATATAGAATATTCAGTATTATAAAGAATATGTATTTGTTTTTAAGACTCAGAAAGCGTCATATTTCAAACTAATATGGCTCCTAACTTGGTAGGTAATAAACGGTATGTATCTTACAACTATAAGAGAAAGGTATTATTCGTGAAGTTCCGTAGGAGTGGGTAGAGGATACTGTGCGTTGGGTTGCCCCTTCAACCTGCCGACTGCAAAAAAACGGAGGAGGTTATCAATTCGTCGGGATATTTTTTTTTTTGTGTGTTTGGACCACGTTAACCGATTTCTATAATTCTTCGTTAAGTTCCGTAGGAGTGGGTAGAGGATATTGGGCGTTGGGTTGCCCCTTCAACCTGCCGACTGCAAAAAAAGGAGGAGGTTATGAATTCGTCGGAATATTTTTTTTGTATGTGTTTGGACCACGTTAACCGATTTCTATAATTCTTTTTTTTTAAGAAAAGGTGGTACCTCAGAGGTGGTCCCATATCAATTTGGTTTAGATCCGATTATTAACAGTACTCTTAAACTTTTATATCAAAATTGAAGTGGGCTTTATTTTTTGCTTAAAAATTACTTGGTAGCAATCAAGATTATGCACAATTTTATTTAAATTGCAAACTTTTTAATAAGAATTTCTATGAAAAGTTTTTAAGGTTAAACTAGATTTTTAGCAATTTTTCACGGATTTCCATACAAAGTATGTATGTTGGACAATTTTTTTCTATGGAAGAAAGCAAAAAAAAAATTATTTAAAATCAACAAAATCGGGAACCTAGTCGAGTATGTACATAGATTAAAACAGCATACTCAGAATTTTGAATTGATCATCAAAATCTTGGCTTAATGTTGAAAACCTCATTTTCGGTAGGCTGGAGCTTACACTTGGCCTTGACTTCATATGTATGTATGTATGTACGTGGGCCGAAAATCCTCTTTTTTTAGAACTTCGATTGGTAATAAGGCCATTTCATTGTGACTAGTGGGACATTTTACTCCAGAATGTGATGAATTGTGAATTTTAACTATGTCGTCGGAACTTATACAACAGCGAAAGATATTTTTTAACATAGAACGATAACTAGTGACTAAAACTGCTTTAACAAAAATACCTAACGATTTCTTAGTTTTATTTAACTATCATTGGAATGAGTGCAACTGGTGGGACACTGAAAAGAACTCGTATTTTATCCTTGTGCACTCAATGATGATTTTTAGCCAAAACACTTAATATTCACGAACGATGTATTTGTGTTGTAAAATATCAATTATACGCTTTCGTTTTCAATAAAAATGAGGTTTATATAACCTTCATAGAAATATTAAAAAAAGATATAAAGTTGACCCTGGTGGGTCATCTCCTTGTGACTGGTGAAAAGTAATTATACATGAAATAAAAGTTTCCATAGACAAATATTACAACTTCTTTTTATTTTTTTTATATTTTCCCACAGGGTAATGAAATTTAGTCATTTAAAAAGAGGTTACTACTAAAATAGAGATAATTAGGGCATATTTAAATTTATGTCGTTTTCCTCTTTCCAATGGAATGACCGAATAGCAAAAGTATGGTCCATTATGCTCTAAAAACCATATGTGTGAAAGATGACAATTTTTGGTCGATATCTTAGGCTCGGCTAAGTCCATCAAAGTTCAAGTGCTAAAATATTTTCTTTCTTAGTTTATACTCGCGAAACTAGGGACCAAATATAGGAAAACTGCATTAAAATACTTTGCAGTTTTAAAGTTATGTTTGATTCAAAAGTTATTATAAAAAATAGAGCAATGTAGAATAACAATATAGGTAGATAGACAGATATGGTTATCAAATAAAAGAGAAAATCCTGTAGAATTGAAAACGATTAATAAAATGAATAACTAATAAAAATGTAGTTATAAAATTGTATCCTTCAACATCCTTGAAAATGTGTAATATTTGGTTTTTTTCAAATTTTCCAATACCTTCCCTTTCATTTCGTACCCATATTTTTTTCTACATTGCACTGAATTATTTTAATCTGGGAAATTTCAAAGTCGTTAAATAATCCTGACTTAAGAGTAAAACTTTTAAAACACAGTTTTGCTATATTTGGCCCCCAGTTCGTGAATATAAAAAAATTTAATTGTAATATCATAAAACGCAATCATTTATTGAAGGTTTTGAAGGAAGAACAATTGATTATACGGAATATTTCCCGATTTTTTTATATTTGTAGCAAAATAATATTCTCGTCGGCCAGCATTTCTAGACTTCCGGTTTCACATTTTCGGCGTTTCTCTTTATACTACAAAAAATACGTCTGGCTTCCCTCTTCAACTCTCTATAGCGAACCTACGTAGCTCGAGTTGCGTTGGAGGCGACATAATTTTTCTCTGCAGCTGTGCAACGTTCCTCATCGTAACAGTTGTTATTTCGGGCTTGTTTAAATCCGTGAGCTTCTTCGGCGGCAGTTCATACTGAGCGAGAATTGTGATTCTACTGACGCATCTTGGCTGCAACAAGATGGTGGACCGAGTCAATGTTCCACCCTCGGAGCTTACGTACATCCAAAACACTGTAGGCGTGCCTTCCGTCTATCAGATGAATATTCTTATGATGGAATGAGTGCTACAGACTACTATTTTTCTGGCTCCGGCAAAGTCGATCAGGCCCAGTCCTTTAGCGAAAATTTCGTCGTGGATGCGCTTGAAAGTGCTTGTAGTCTTTGGTCACCTAGTATTTCTCTTCCGACGGTGCGGTTGTACAAATAAACGAAGAAACCTACAATTAAACACATTTTGGAGGTAATGCTAAACTTTCATAATTGATGGATATGGAAAATTTAAAATACTTACGCCTTAAAAGAAGGCCCCGTCAAAAGTGTTGCTTTGGATAATATTCTTCTTTCATGTTACTAAACTGTTCACACAATTGAAGCGCCTTAATCCATTCGTTGCTGCTTTTGTCGGAATATTTAACGAAATTTTCATTCAACTTTAAAGAATGTTTTAAAAACCTATAAAGAAATCGTTATGGGTATTCACGTATGCCTGTTTATCGACATAGTGGATATGTGGTATATTTTTTAGCTTCTGACAATAAAATACCCCCAAAAATAATATGGGGTTTTATATAACATGTTACAATTTATATGGAATTTTTAGATTTATGACGTTTATCTACAGTTTATGACGTTATATGAATACCCCTAATAATCTATAGCTAGATAACCTGATGATCAGTAAGGGGTGAGTTGTAAAATTTTAAATCATTAATATAAAATTACCGGATAATTTTCGAGATACATATCGAGCCCTAACCGCCAAAATAACGTAAGCGACATTTTTTCAAAATTTTCTTTTTGATGCAGAAATGTATCTAGATGCTCTAGGAATATTTCCACATCAAAAAAAAATTTTGAAAAAAATGTCGCTTACGTTATTTTGGCGGTTAGGGCTCGATATGTATATAATGGCCATATTGTCATAATTCTATAATTTAAACAAAATTCACATTTTAGTTATTACAACATTTATATCATCATGGCGTATTACTCTCGGGTAAGTTCTAAGGTATGAAATCATAAAATAAATGTATGCTTTACCTGAGCAACTTTTTTAAAGCGTCCACGCTATTAAAAATTTTATCGTCAGTTTGCAGTTGTGTGTATGCGCGTAAAAGGCAGTTTAAAATTTCGCATAAAACATTACAAATCATGGGCAGTGATGTTATCATTTGTTGCAAAGTGCGCCGCCTTTTTGAATGCAATTCTCGTTGTGCCAAAAGCTCTAATCTGATTTCAATAGAATGTTCGTAATTTATACAAGTGGTCTGAATTAATTTTGAATTTCTCAGCAACAGCAGCATGAATTCAGGTTCCTTTCTGGGTCGATTAAATATTTTGGCTCTAATGGGCGGATTTGATTCGCTTATGTCTTTCAAAATGTCTTCTCCCTTTCCTGCCAAATGTGTTTTTATCAGTTGCACCAGTTGGCCTAATGCATCACACAAAGCTTCCTTGGCTAAACTGTTTAGGTGGAATACACTTTCATATTTTTGAAACGGTGAGTTGAAATTTATTAGGCCCAGAGACATGTACAACAAAATGTCGCACAGTTCTCTATTATCTATAGCGGAAATATTAACTTCACCATGGCTGATTTTGTCGCGCAGACGTGGTCCATGTGGCGCAATAAACAAATCATAAATACAATTCAACAGTTCCTCACTTACTTCGCAACCATTTAGCAGATTATTTTTAATGCCCGTCTGTACGTTTGGTAAATCACATTCAAATATAGAATCCATTGTAATGTAGTATTCATTCAATTTGGCAGTGACATCAAAATCATTTACTTGTGCATATAGCAAGCGCAGCAGCAATTCAATTTGTGGTGTAATCAATATAGCCAATTTCCAATACATTTTTGTGTTGTAATATTGTGACAGTCGATACCAAAACTTTTTGAAGTCCTTATTAAGCCATGCATGATTTTCTATTTGCTGAACGTAGGTAGATTCATCAAACCAATTGATATACAATGGCAGCTGATTTGATACTTTTCTACACAACTTGCTGAATTCTACGACTTTTGGTCGTTCTGTTAAACATATTTTTTTCATTTTAAGCTCGTATCCCAAACTGTGTATCAAAAGTACCAGAATTGAGGTGTAATATTCTGGTATATCTTGAGGCCTTGGGAAACCATGCCATACAATGTTCCGTAGGTTTATGGAATCGGGAGTTCCCATTAGAACTTTTAAAAGGGAGATCTAAAATAAAATATGTAATTTTGTTAAAATTTATTTGATATGGACATACATATCTCGGATATACATAGTCCAACAGACTTACTACTTCTGTTCCGAATATATTCCGCAGTTCTTCGGTACTTAGCAAATCACGCAACAAATGCGGCGGTGGACATTTGTGATTATTAGTAACAAACAAATTTGCTAATGCATTTTCTAATAGTGAGGTCAAAAGCAGAATCCTTTCAACAGTCAACGTTTCAGCCACATCATCCGATTGCAGCAAATCCACCAAAAATCTACAGTTGCTTCCAAGCCATTCCAATTGCAAATCATTTAAAATTATTTTTGCGCTGTCATAGCAATGGTGGATGCCCTCGAAAATGGGTAATAATTTATAAAAACAGCTTAGATAAGCTTCATAATTGCGCCCTAAATATATTTTGTAGTTGTTAATTTTTTTAGCATTTTGGTTTACATTTACAAATGTTATGTACCTGCACCACTATGCTCTAAATCGGCTCCGAAAAGTCCATACAGTTCTTTGAAATTCAAGCACCAATTGGAAAATAAATACTTCCGACTTTCTTCAATTGCATATTTGTTAAAATTCACAAAGAATTTAGAAATATGCTCACTTATCAAACTATTTCCGGTGTGTTGCTGCATTTCCACTGGTGAACTTCATTAACAGCTAGGGATGCAAACGATGCATCGATGTTTACAATTTACTATCAACGCGAAATTGACGATACATCAATGGAAGTTTTATTGATGTTTTAAACATCGACTTTAACGAGACTCTCCGACTTTCTTTCGGTATGTTTGACTGACCTTAAATTTATTATTCATTCAGATTTTTTTTGATATTTATGGCCTTATAACAATTATATTCAACAATTTTATTGAGCTCGAGGCCGTTTCTTATTTAAAAATTGTTATTGAAAGTCAACAATAATTTACAAAAGGTAAAAGTTATAGCTGCTATTTCGGGGAAGAAGTCTGATTAGTAGTTGTGGTGATATCCCAAATAGCAGCTATATTTTCTTAACTTTGTAAATTGTTGTTGCTTTTCCGCAACATTTCTCATAAAAAACGGCCCCAAGCTCAATAAAGTGGTTGGATTCATTCTGAATGCTAATAACCTAGCCGCTAAAACAAAACCAAACACCCGTTGGAATTTCAACAACATGAGGCCTAGGATCTTTAGGCCCGAACGACATTACGATGGTATGCATTTTGATTCTAATAATAGAGAGGGTATAGAAGGGTTAATGTCGGCCGCTGTGGTGTAGTGGTAAGCAGTGCGTGCTTCCACTCCGCAGCACCTGGGTTCGAACCCTGGTCAAAGCAACATCGCAAAAATTATAGAAAAAAGGTTTTTTCTTAACAGCGGTCTTCCCTCGGCAAGCAATGGCAAACCTCCGAGTGTATTTCTGCCATGAAAAACGGCTTCTCACAAAAATGCAATCGCCGTTCGGAGTCGGCGTAAAACTGTAGGTCCCTCCGCTTTGTGTGACAACATCAAGGCGGACGCCACAAATCGGAGGAGAAGCTCGGCCAAACACTAACATATGTGTAAGCGCCAATCTATTATTATTATTATTATAGAAAGGATAATAAAATACAGGAAAATACATTCATGATTATTAAAGTTTCAAAATTGCTTTATATTTAACTAGAAATGAACAAATTGCAAAATATCGGAAACTATCGATATATCGATGTTTCTCTGGCGATGTATTTTAGCCTCGATGTTCTTTTCTCCGATGCATCGAAACATCGATGTATCGGTGTTGCTGCTCAAAGTTTGCATCACTATTAACAGCTGATGAACTCAGAGGGGCAGATTCATTGAGGCAATGAACATCGAACAATGTTGCCTTTCGACTGAAAAGGGGAAGTCCTTCGTGAATAATGCCAAGCGCTTTAATTTAGTAACAGTTTGAAATTGAAGTAATTTTCTGCACATAAGCATCAAAATACGCTTTTGACGATATATGCATTATTCTTTGTACCCTAGAACTATAGTTCAACCGTAAAAGAAGATATTTTTGTGCTATTAAATATTATTAATTAATTATTAATAGTTGTTTTTTTCTCCATAATTAATGACATGTAATGAGATTCTATTTCTCTTTTCATATTGGATCAGTTTTAAATTTGAAAATATGCGCTCTGCGGCTGCAGAGCTATTTTTGAGGCGAGTAAAGTAAATTAAAAATTAATGAAGTCAGTCCTTTATACATAGTTCATTTAAAGCATTTTTTTAAGCTTATTGGACCCGAAAACGCATTTTCATGTATCAAAATTTTTACTACGCGAAAAATTTAAGTATCTCGCGAAATGAGCGAAAAAATAAAGTATCTTCCAAAAATATGCACAAACACGTATCACTTTTGAAGTATATGGAACAAAACGGCAACACTGCTCACCAGCCTGAAGTCGCTCGGACTATTTTTCCGGGCGAGTTTGTGAAAACTGTCAAACTAACAGACGAAGAGGAAGAATTTTAGTCGTTAAAATTTTAACCAATAAATATGTGCACATTTATCGCCCAATTCTGTGTTTTCTTGATAACTTTTTTGTAAAGAAAATTTTATCAAGATTTTTATCAAGTAAAAGCTCCCTTCGCATTCTGTGTCAATATTTATAAAACAAAAAGCTCTACGATTTCCACATGAGTGGAACTGATTTAATTGTCACATATGAAAAATATGAATTTAAAAGCAAAAAAGCTTTTGACTGCCGTAGCCGAGTAGTTAAAGATGTCGACTATAATTCCGTGTGTCTCAGATTCAAAGCTCCGGTTAAATACAACGACTACTTTATCGATCACATGTTATATGCATTATGTCGAAAACGTCAATAATGATGTTTAACCGGCAAGAAGTGATAACCAGATATTGGCTTTGTTTTTTTTTCTTTTCAAGCAGATAGTAAAAATTTTACTAGCAGAAATTAGCAGGAGAGCCAAACAAATAAGAGCGTAAGAACGAGATAGAGCTGCTAGTTTCTGCTAGTTTTTTGGGTTAAGAAACGCTTTCCAGCAGAAATTAGTGATAAGTTGTGATGATTATCTGTTAAGAATCAAAGCTATTGAACAACCGGACAATAGCTGTTTTTCTTTGATCGATAATTTTTTGAAGTGATGCCAGATTGTGGGTAAGGGGTTTGAGGAATTTTTATTTGCTTAATAGTTTGCTCATCTATTCAAAGTATTTAACACAGTTATCAATCCATAATTGATCAAAATTCAAGAATTGTCGACACTCTTTCGAAATTAATCGTTCTGAAGTTGTGATGTGGAGTAAAGTTATGTATGTTAATATTAAAAATTATAAGGACAATTTCGAAAATTTTCTTACGTTAACCAATTCAAGCGCTGAGTAAGAAAGAATCTTTTCAATTATAACTGGGTTTTTAATGTAAAAACCAGAAAAAATTGTCTGATGAGATGTTAAGTAGTACATGTATGTATATAAAATAACGGTTGCTTTTGAAAAAAAAAGCAAGTGCTTCAACTTTAAAGTCACCAAAAACCATATTCGCTTAGACAATGCAAATAATTTGTAACAGTGGCAGCTTTAAGAATTGCCAGAATTCTTTAAGACCTTTAGTGTGTAATATACCGACCTTTGCATTTCGTATTTGTATATTAACTGCCATACCTAAACAAAAGCGTTGGGTGGAGCGGTTTCTGACGCCTAGCGTTAGCGCCGAAGTGCCATACCTAAACAAAAGCATCAACGCTACGTCAAATGCAGAAGTAACACCAACAATAAGCATAGGTTTGTTTGTGTGTAACACGAAAATGACAGTTTCGCCGTTTCCTGCAGCCAACTTCAATACCTGTACCACGTTGTTTCGGTATGCTTCATACAAATTGTATGGGCATGAGAATTTTTTGACAGCCAGACAATGCTAACGGTTTTGCTTAGGTATGGCAGTTAATATACAAATACGAAATGCAAAGGTCGGTATATTACACACTAAAGGCCTTAAAGAATTCTGGCAATTCTTAAAGCTGCCATGCTTTTTTACTACTGAAAAATATGTTTCGAATTTTTTGGGAAATTTGTGGGGTAAATTTTTAATATGTGGGTAATTGCAGGATTTTTTCCCGATTTCTGTGGGTAATTTAGCAGAGAATATCTGGCAACACTGGTTTAGGGCAGTTTATGCAATTTTGTGAGAGTATTCCGTACTTACGCTCATTTACCCGAAACAAGCCCGAAAATTAAAAAAAAAACCTTTTGTTTCCTCTTGTTTTACTTAGGGTTTACACCGGACAATATTGTCAAGACAATTATGTCAAAATGATGTGTTTGTTGTAATATGTTATTCGCCGTGTTTACAACAAACACATCATTTTGACATAATTGTCTTGACAATATTGTCTGGTGTAAACCCTAAGTAAAGTACTGAACTTTTTAGCAACATCGAATAAAGTAAAACAAACTTTGGCAGCAATGCTGGTTATAGGGCATAGTTCCGAGTACGTTTGGCGGTGCATCTATAAATGTACAAATTAGTAAGAAGGTTAATTCCTAAGTTCATATTATAATTTTAAAAGCTTGCCAGTCAAACAAAAAAATTTTTGAATGTTTAGTATTTATAAGTACTATATGTAAGTATTACGTACATACATATCGCTCACCTAGATTTAAAGTGAGCTAACTCAAAATTCAGATCGGGAAATATAATTGCTTGTGGATCGTACAGATGCGACGCAATTAATACAAAAACAGGTATAACATTTTAGTTAGTATATGTATTACTACGTTTATACTAGGGATTTTAATTTTTTCGATTTTTACGATTCCGGGATTTTCGGGATGTCGTTGGTTCAATCCCGGGATCGCGGGATCAGTCCCGGGATTTAGATATTTATTATTTTTCAACGACTCAACATGAAAAAATTGCATCAATATGGTTTGAGAAGCTCTCCTACCATATAATACATAATAAGTAAATGGGTTTGAAACGTACTTTTAATTTAAAGTGAAAATTATTTCATAAGTAACAAAACAAAAGACAGTCATTAAATTTATATGCATTTAGTGTGCTCATATCTGATAAAGTAATTTAAGGTATGTATGTCGAAAAAAGATCGATGCAAAAAAAAATTAAATAAAAAAATTTATTTTCTGGTTGAAAGAAGTTCATAATACTGGTGTCAGAAATAAAATAAGTGTCTTAATTCGACCAGTTTTGTCTATTTTCCTTTTGTTTATCCAAAATTTAAATTTTTTATAAAAGTCTACCTCATATTACGCATAATTAACTGTATATAAATGGGCATTTCTCTGACGTCATGATTTTTTTTAAGTACTTTATCGAGCCCTAACTGCCATAATAACGTAAGCGACATTTTTTTAATTTTCTTTTTGATTCTGAAATATTCCTAGAGCATCTCATGCATTTCTGCATCAAAACGTAAATTAAAAAAAAAATGTCACATAATATAATATAATATAAACGTAGTATATATATAACCATGAAGAAAAAAATACTTTCATACATTGAAGGTAATTTCTTTGGATTGATTTATGTAAAAAAATGGTCAACATTTTTTGAGTTGGTCGCACTTGGATCTACATAGGTGAGCGATATGTATGTACTTATCGGTGCCCAAGGCACATAAATACAGGTAGAAGCCAAAATGACGTTGCTCTCATGAGAACCAAACCTTTAAACTTCAACTTGATTTTATTTTATTTCCTATATTTCGTTACGCTTAAAATGTCATGTGGTTTGTTTTTTTTGAATGTTCGTTAAAAACAAATTTGAATTAACATTTGCATTATTGTAGTGTTGTGCGGTTTATACTTAGTGTATGTGTTAAAAATGCAGCACCTGAAGCGTTGTTTTTTATGTGGTGTTAAATATAATGCAGACATCACTAATTTTTTTAACGTGCCTCAATGCCCTTGGCGTAAGGAGCGTTGGGAAAGCAGCTGTGGGGTAGAGCTGCAGCGAAATGCCTTGCTGTGCGTTAAGCATTTTAAAGCAGCAGATTTCATAAATGCACCAGGAGGTACAGGAAAGGCACGTTTGATGCCAAGTGCTCTTCCTATGACCCTTATGCCGGAAAGTCCTTCCAACAACACTGCAACTCATAAATCAAGTTGTGAAAGCTTAATAAATGATCGCGCTTATTTGTGTTCCGTTGTTTTATTGATTGCCCAACGTTATGCCTAGTACATATATCGCTTTATACATACATTTGTATATTATACAAAATTAAAACAGGTACTATAAATATAAACTTTCAATGTATAAAAAAATGGAAAAGAACATACAAATTCATGGTGGAATAATACAAGGTGTTGGATATTGACAGCGTTCTCGCTCTAATCCGCCATCTTGGCTCCCTTAGCTATATCAGTGTTTCCCTCTTGAAAAAACTACATTTTATCGCCTTTAAAAAAGTACTAAACTACCTCATTCCCTATTCCAAAACCGATTTGCAATCACTGAACAATTATTTGACATTTACTCTATTCTTATCGTTGGCAACTGAAAATTAAATTAGAAATTTCAACATTAATTCGGCAAAAAAACATCGGTTTAGAGTTCTTCCCAAGGATTTGTAGTTATTTTGGTCGGTGCTTCCTTCCGCTGCAATCCCGTCTGTGGTTCACTGCCTCTGGCCCTGCTTTTCCAACGATATAACTGTTTTTTTGGTAACTTCTACCGCTAAGACTTTGTTGCTTTTTCCCTTTTCCCTAAAAACATAATAGTGCTACAAAGCTCAATAACAATATGGAAACAAATGTTAATAAGCCACAATAATATTGACAATAAATAAGATTTCACTACGATTGAATTTTCTATTAGTAACAGGGTAGTTATAGTGAATGTTTTATTCGATAACTAAAACTATATTTGATGTTTGTAGCGATAAAAATATGCCTAAATCAGCCAAATACCCTATGTGGGTCGGCTGAATCAGTAAAACGTGACAGTAGTTGACTTTTGAGGTTAATATATCGGTCTTGAGTTGGTAAGGTTTTTAAAAAATCCGCAGCTTCCTTTAAAGCATCGCTGCTAATTGCTGAGAAAACCAGATTGTATTTACCGACATAAGATGTGGTCTTGTACGACTGAAAGGTGGCCTCAATTTGTAGAAACCATTTGTCTGTCATCTCAGTTCAGAACGGTCGCAGCTTGCATTGCGATGCAAGCTCCACATCTTTAGTTGGCATTTTGTTCGATGAAATATTCTCCCCATCCGTCGATTCGCCCTTTTGTCGATTCCGTCATGTTGTAACGACTCGGGGTCACCACTAATTTTTTGGTTTTGGAAGTTTGACTATAATTATAGGACATTGTGTTTAATAAACTAAATTACCATTTATTGCATAAGTACTACGTTATATATACTACTTTCGCGAATTTAGCTTATCATAATATACCGTTTGTAACTATTTATATGCAAAATTTTATATGAAAAATAGTACCAAATTTCGTACTACTTCGCAAAGCGGGCTTTTTTTCTTCCCGTTTCTCTCGTGCTTCCATATTACAACCTTTTGTAAGGGAGCTGTCGACATGAGCTGTCACTACGTACAACACCTTGTATAATTCCACCATGATACAAATTAACAAATTTTAACTAAAGAAAATAAATAAATAAATACAAAACTTCAAATTTACTTAAAAACGTCAACCAGCGAAATGTAATTTTTTTATTTTTCTTTACACACGCTCATTTTTATTTTTACTCTCCCGAAAACTTTGACTTTTGTAGGTTTGATGTCAATTTGGCTTCTACCTGTTTTTATTGTACCATGATCGGTGCCCATCAGTTAAAGTAGCTTAAGTGACTTTAGTTGATTTGACTTTGAATTAAAAAGTATTCAGTTTCCCTTGAAAAATTTGATATTTTTATGACGTTTCTATTAGGATAGCTAGTCAATCTTTAAAATATTATGGCCTATCTCGATTTAGGTTACTTAATTTGACGAGCACAAATATGTACGTATATTGTTTTGTTGAATAAATTGAAATCTACCGCGTTTTACTCGAATATACCACATTTTTTTCTCAATTCCACCGCAAAAAAAAAAACTAAGTTCGCACACCGCTGACAAGTGAAGATTTTCAATGCGAACAAAAAATTGTTTTTTCTCTTTTTTATTATAAACAATTAGGTTCGCATTCATGGCATATGTTTTTTTTACATTTTACCGTTATATATGTAGGCATGACTTTGTTCAATTTATTTGTCTAAAAATTTTCTATATCCTTCTGAGTGAGACCAACAGCCATATTCCCACGCTGATGGTAAAACGCATCCCATGACTATTGTCTTAAGTACCTACCGTATTTGTCATGTACTCAGTGTTGTCATAATACAAGGATCATGCAATGTGTTTTGTTACTGGGGTGGGAATAGAACTTTCTAGCAAATGTTTTGAAGATATTGATGAATAGGTTACTGAGATACACTCGTCTCATATTAAGGGGCGCCTATTTCCATCCATATCCGGCCACAGAGTGGTATTGTCTAGAAATTTGTATCGAGAATGAGTTCAGCTCAATAAAAACTTTCCAAATAACAGCACTCTGTAACGGCGTAAAGTAGGTACAGATCTGTTCAAATATACAAATCGTGTGATCTCTGCTTCAGAGCCCCAACAACAACAAAAACAAAAAAACAAATGGTTGTTATAAAATTCGTTCACAGATCGCAAATACAAATGAAATTAATTAATTTTAACTATTTGAAAACGAATTTTACTGAACCCTGTATATAAGTGACGAATCAGCACTTTGTTTTAAAGTTTTTTATCTTCAAATTAGAAAAATCTCTCTCGCGGAGCTGGAAATACGTAAATGAGAATTTAGGGAAGTGGCTCAGCCAGACAAAAGACAGACTGGTAGATCTGTATGTGAAGACATGGCTGATGACCTCCCTAAGTTAAGCTATTAATAAAGAATACAACTAGTGAAAGCAAAGCATGTGTTACCGAAAATTGACTTTCTATTTCACGAGCGGAACTGAGCGTCGATATCACTCATATGTATATGTATGGAAGTAACCTCATTGGGAATTTTTTTAGAATGGCTTCACTTGAGAAGGGCTACCTAAATTACCTTGTGGATTTTTTTGTTGAGTCGAATCAAAAGACTTAAGAAACAAACCAGAATGGAAAATTATCAAATTTTTTATGTTATCCTAGTAGTGATGATACCCATTTGTAATATATTGGTATGTCAAGTGACTGTGATACACAATAAATGAAAATTCCAAATGTTTAAAGTTGATTTCAAGAACTAAAATCTCCAAAAATGTTTAAACTTTTTACGGAGATGTAGCAGAGCAGAACGAGTACATACGCACCTAAAACTTAAGCTAGTATTTTTAATGAACCCCCTTGGTTTAATCACTGAAAGTCTACTTTTGGTAGCTTGCTTCAAGCTTTAGACTATAACGGCTCTGACATTCAGCAGTAAGTTACACTGTATTCTTTAGGAAAAAATATTGTAATTTTCTTTCGCAGTCCTCACAACAACCCAATTTTAACTTTCAGGCACCATATCGCACGAGTTTGCACAGTCACACAAGTTGGCCTGTCCTATAGGCATTTTTGAGCTTAAATGAATTAATGCGACAACACTGAATATTCAAACAATTTCTTATCAGCGCCTGCACTCTTATTAAACAGTACAATCATTCAACCCAAACCAACCACACAGCTTCAATTGCTTCTGCACGTATTGATAATTGCAGCTGAAATGGGGAATCATCATCTCGTCTTTATACTATGGTAATTTCTAGTCGGCTATTTGTGGATGCACTTCTTTTAATTTATATATACATACATATGTATACGAGTAAATAATACATATATGTACATACATATTTTTGTATACCTACATTCCAGTCTGATACTTACTTGCATATCTTTTGCCGACGTGGAGTGCGTAAATGAATGGATCAGAAACCAAATTCAGCCATCAACAAGCAACAAGCAATTTCCTAAGAATTTTTCCTTTGGGGTGGCGACAGCCGCCTATCAAATCGAGGGTGCATGGAACGAAGACAGTAAGGCGCCCTCCATTTGGGATATATACACTCACACGCATCCAGAACGAATAGCCGATCATTCAAACGGAGATAACGCCGCTGAATCTTATCATCGCTTCGAACAGGATTTGGTTGCACTCAAAGAACTTAAGGTGCAAAAAAATGCGTCGAATTAAATGAAAGCTCTCACGCTAAATAAGTCTTATGTTTAAGGTCAATTTCTATCGGTTTTCTATATCATGGTGTAGAGTGCTTCCCTACGCAGATACTTCGGTGAAAAATCAAAAGGCAATTGACTACTACAACATGGTTATCGACAAGTTATTGGAGAACCACATCGAGCCGATGGTGACAATGTTCCACTATGATACGCCCGAAGAGCTGTCAAAATTCGGTGGCTTTACCAATGATATTGTCATCAAGTACTTCCGCTCCTATGCAGATTTTCTGTTTGAAACTTTTGGTGATCGCGTCAAGAAGTGGATTACATTCAATGAACCCTTTGACTACTGTGTACCAGGCTATGGCAATGCGAATTACCCACCAATGATCCATGCACCGGGAGTGGCAGACTACTTATGTATGGACAATACTTTGCGGGCTCACGCATCTGCTTATCGCCTTTACAGAGCCAAATATTTCCACTCGCAACGAGGCAAAGTGGGCATTACCATTAGCAGCCGGTTTTATTATACCCCAAAGGCGAATGAGCCAAACGACGTTGTGGATCGAGCGATACAGTATTCGGTAAATTTTTGCAAAACCGTTATTTTTGGAATTCGAATTACAAAATGCATTTTATATTGTACGAGTATTTTAGCTGGGCTGGTTGGCGCATCCCATTTTTGGCAAATCAGGAAATTATCCTTACACTGTAATTGAAGACATCACAAGCAATAGCATGAAAGAAGGTCTGGCCTGGTCGCGGTTACGACCCCTAAACTTATACTGGTCGAAGATAATTAAGGGATCAGGGGACTTCTTAGGCCTTAATTATTATACCTCCCGTTACGTCCAGATGTCGGATCCTCCGGCAGGGGCAACTCCTTCTTGGGAGCATGATTCGCGCCTTAAGTATTCGGTTGATGAGAGCTGGAAACGTGCCAAATCTGATTGGCTTTACTGCGTGCCACAGGGCTTGGAGGATATTTTAAAGTGAGTTGAAACGTTTAGTCAGATAGGCCAAGGAAACAGTATCTATTATTTATCTGCGTATTAAGATGGATTCGTGATAACTATGATAACGTTGAGGTATATATAACGGAAAACGGCTGGTCCGATGAGGGCGAATTAATGGACACAGGCCGAATTGATTATCTTAAGGTAATGCAAAAAAAACTGGTAATCACTAACGTCATACATACCTATGCATGTATGTACAATGTACATTGAATAGACATACGTAAAAATGTTTATGCCTATATGTTCACCATTATTAATAGGCGGCATACACAGTGCTCTGACTCGTGAGTCGGAATGAATTTGTCTGTAAAAATAAATATATATGTTAGTTACACCGCCATGACTCCTGGAATGTCTCTGAATGATTCAACTGTGTGTAGTCGAAGGCGAGTCAACACGTACATAAATGACTCGCGAGTCAGACGCACCGTGTATGCCGCCTATAATCTACTTTTGTACATGTATATTTATTATGCACATCTGCATACGGCAGCGGTCAAAATAATAACATCAAAATTCAAAATGATATTGTTTGCAACTCCTGTTTATTTGTTTTTATTAATTTTCAGATAAATTATAGTTCGATCTACATATAACAGAAACCAGAGAAAAAAAAAATTCGAAAATTGCACAAAGCTCACAGAAATGAACGAAACTTCAAAAAATTTTCATCAAAATTTCCAACTTTTTATTTAGAACTTTTGGAAATTTTTCGATTATTCAGTTTTGTTGCCGTTCAAATTTAGTAAAGTTAAAGTGCAAGTTTTAAGTCATTAAAAATTACTGCTGATTTTTTAGAATTTTTTGTCGAGGATGTTCCGCATTTTCTTCCTTATAAAAATAGATTTTGTTCATACTTTACATTAAAGAAAATGCTGAACACCCTTGACAAAAAAATTCCATAAAGGCAACGGTAGTTTTAAGTGGCTTGAAACTTGCACTTTATTATAATAAAATTGAAAGTTCTATAAAACTGCATACTCGAAAATTTTCTAAACATTCTGTATAAAGGATTTGACATTTTGATGAAAATTCTTTGAAGTTAGATTCTTTTTTGTGAACTTTGTGCAATTCTCTAACTATATTTGAAATTAAAATTATTTAAAATAAATAAAAAACAGGAGTTGCACACAATGTCATTTTGAAAGGAATTGAAAATGTAATTGATTTTTTATCGAATACCATTCCTCAAAGTAATTTAAAAAGTAATCGAAAAATGTATAAAAAAAATTTACTGTTGGTTGATTGTTGTTAAATTTCTTGGTTGCTAACTGCCTAGAATAAATAACTTATACCTAAGTAGTATTACTAATTGGAATTGAAAAAAAAAGCTGCATAACTTAAACTGTCAGTTTATAGGGTAACCGTTAAATTTTCCAGCTCCTACCGCGAACGCGTTCCGCGGCAGATGAAACCCGTAAATGTCAAAGCAGGCATAACCCGCCCGAATTCTTTCATGCTCGCCTTTCAGTGAAGAACAGTCCGGACTGTTGCTGCCTTGGGCGCTGCTGTTCTCTTGAAGTAATCCCTGCGTATCTATAAAAATGCACATTTTACATTCGTGAATGAACTTTCAGTTTCTCGATTACTTTTACAATTCCTTGAGTAATTGAAAAAACTAAAGTACTCTTGCAATTCCAGGTAATGGAACTGAAAAAAAAATCAATTACATTTTCAATTCCTTTCAAAGGAATTGGAAAAAATTACATTACTAGCACGTAATTTATTCCAATTACAATATGAAATTCCTTAAAATTGGGAGTAATTTAATTCCTAAAGGAATCATTACGACCCAGCTCTGCATACACTAGGCTGCCTCACAATCAATACAAAGAAAAGCGATTCTCCTTCTCCAGCGAATTTTATAACTCCAACCTTTCCTTAAAACTGCATGCAAACGTCGCGTTTATCACAACTCTAATTTATGTATATCGCAAAATGTTTCCCGAGAAAATAGTCTAAATAATGGGAACATGTAAATGTAAAAGTTTTTTTCAAAAATTCTGCCATCAGTTCTTTGGTATCACAGTATCAGCGATTTTTTTAATTAAACCACTCAAGCCCCAAAAACTTCAGACATTTCTTTGTTTTGCCGAAAAATCCTAGGATGTTTCAACAAAAAAAAAACAATGCGAAACTGAAAATCAGCCCAAAGATTTTAAAGTTATCAAACACTTTAAAAAATGCATTTAAAAGAAGCCAAAACTAAAAACTATCATTAGTTTGAACTAAAAAACCTTTTCCGTTTTACCTTGAAATTTGGTTAATATACGGCTGAGTTGTTAAAATTTCCACGAAAACTATACTGAAAAGCTTAATAATGTCGTTATTTTGAAGAGGTGAACAGTTTTTTTTGTTTTATTTTGATGCAGATCTTTTATTGAAACACTCGTCTATAGGGTTATTTGATGTAAGAAGTGTTCCAGCTAAAAAATAAAAATAAAATAATGCGAATTTCGGAAGGATTTTCAATGTGCTTCAGCTTACGATTATTAGTGCCGAATTGAAACAAAATATTTTATTGGGAGCTAAAATTCCACATTTTATTATCTGCTTGGAAAAGCGGCAAATTTTCGTCATGCGGCACCCTAGTGTAGACCCTAGATTTCTTTTATATTTTGCAGACACATTTACGGGCTGTCCTGAATGCAATCAACGATGGGTGCAACGTTACACACTACTCCCATTGGAGTTTAATCGATAATTTCGAGTGGAATAAGGGATTTACGTAAGTAAATGCTTAATTTTAGTTTTTCCCTCTTTCAACACTTTCGCGCTTTGCGATTGCGTGCTAGCGACACCTTAAATCAACAATAAACGTTCGTTTTCGTTGCAGTGAAAAGTTTGGTCTCTATTACCTGAACATGACAAGTGAGAATAAAGAACGTGTTGCCAAAAATTCGGCGCATTACTACAGGAGTGTCATTGAAAGTCGGGAAATATCATCAGGCGACAATTACGTGTGAAAAGCTGGTGCTACATGAATATTTATTTATACAAAAGCAATATTTAAATTACATATGTATGTACATATGTTTGTACATATATGCAAGCACATGGATACGATTATTGAAAACTAAGTGGCGCTTTGTTATTTGATTATAAATAAATATGTACCTTTTTGCATACATGTGTTTGTATGTATGTATGTACATACACATATTCGTTGACGAAAGTAGTCAAATTTAGTCGTTAGTAAAGTCAAATCTAATTTAGTGGGGCGTATTTGAAGTAAACTGCAAGGCGATAAAGTGAAAAATAAGTTCTTTAATACAGATGGATATGTATGTAAGTATGTATGTACGTATATCTACATGGCTACATATCTAAATGTTAAATAAAGTTACTGACTGAATTTGAAATTGTGCTTAACATTTATTTAGTATGTAAATATACAAACTCGCATGTAAGCTATTCAGCAAAAGGAACTGTTTCCTAATAAACGATTTGTGGTGAGATTTCAGTAGTTAAATGAGTCGAGTTTGCCCTTTGTACATAATATTTAACCCTTGTACATATTCTGTTGTTCTGAGTTGTGTCTTGCCACTTTGCACAAGGCCAATCCCCTAATAAGTAAACGCTGGTAGTCTATCTCTGTTTGAAGCAGCCAAAAAGGAGGTGTTAAGTCTCTTACACAACCTTCAATAATGCATGCCACAAAGGTTGCGACCCAAGAATGATAGAATACAAGATTGCGCCGATCAGGGAGGATTTTTGAGAATAACTTTTGGGTGACGTCACACTGGTGCAATCGCGAGAGAGAAATGCCAAAACGTGAGCAAGAATGGAAGAAGAAGAAAAATGTTGCAAGGAAAACGTAAACAAGTTGCACCAGTGTGACGTCATGCAAACAACGATTCTGTCAAATTCGTTAAGAGAGGAATAGCGGTCCGAGATCGGCGCAACCTTTGTATTCTCTTAATCGTGGTTGCGACCGTTGGCTTACCTTAAAAATTGTATGCTCCAGATTGCAACGTTTGAAGGCCCACTGACTGAAAGATCAAAAAACGAGTGACAACGTTAATCGGCATGTTTTGCAACACCAATGCAGGGTATCCCCTTAAACTCGTAAAAGACTCGTTAACTTAGTAAGTCTACGAGCTTCGTAAAGGAACTTTCAAAATTTGTATGGAGCTCACTTTACGTGCACCTCTTAAGATTATGAGCCAAAGTTGATGCCTAAAACGGCATTCTCATAAGACGATTTTCTAAGCGGTTTTAGAGGCGGTTAGTTGAATCAAAAGTTGGCTAATAGGGAATTTACATGATTCAACTTTCACAGGCGATTAGTTGAACCAAAAGTTTAACGAAAGTAGGCAGCCGACCAACTTCATTGTAAGCGATTAGTTGGAAGGCCGTTCACACCAGGCGATTGTTGCTTTCACCTCAAAGTTGCCTGTAAAATCGCTTCATGTAAACACCGTATAAACCACAGTATATACAGTAATAAACCATTTTGAGTACTCCTTGGGGGTAAAATCTGATCAGGGTTGTTACTGAGAAGGAGCATGAATTTTGTTGATTCAGAGTTGTATACAATTTACTGTGGTATGAAAGGGAGCAACAACCGAACTATGGCAGAGTGGCACAAGTCATGACTGTGTAATAGTGCCCGAAACTAATTGCAAAAGTGAATAACGTTGCAAATTATTATCTATTATTATAGATACTAGTACAGATTATCATAGTTCAGTGTATAATTTGTTATATTACACCATACATGATAATGAACTGTTAAATGATGACAACGCTTGTAACTTGTAGATCACTCAAACTTGGGTATGCTTAATGGACTGTCTGGGCGGATGCGCTGGCAGGCATTGGGGTCTGTATAGCTATACAAACCATGTTTTTTTTTTAAATAAAGACTTAAATGTATTCGGAAATTTAGAATTTGGCTTGATAAATAGTTCATAAAACACAAGCGTTAATTATGAACAAATTAATATTATTTTCCATTAAGCAAGAATATCAGCATACATTAAAGATGAATATTATACTTAACCTACATTTTGTTCATAAATAATACATAATTATGTATATTTTATCCTCGAAATGAACTTTTATAATCATGAGTCGAAATTCCCCACAGTAAGTGTTGCCGTGTGCCCAAAACGAAAGCGCTGCACACAACCCAAAAGTACTCCTCGGGGACCAAATGGTGAAAAACTGCGAAAAGGTTTATTACTGTATATACTGTGAAATGAACTTCGCGTATAAGCGGTAGCCCAGTATAAAATTTTATATTTTCTTCTAAACAAAATTTGCTTTTTTGTAGTATATTCGTAATGAAATGAAATAAAATAAAATACCGCTTTAAGAAAACAAAATGTGTATACTGGCAAAGAATTGTTAAAGAAGTAGCACTGTTTCACCTAAGGCAGTCAATATGGCGGAATTAGAGCGAGAAGCTGCCAGCCGATAACACCTTGTATTATTTAGTCTGTTCCTTTGAACTTCGGACTAAAACCTGTGGAACTGTCAAACTACAATTTTACTCTCTCAAATGAGAGTAAAAGGAGAACAGATGCAGAAGTGCATAGGAACGCAAAAAGCACTATTTCCTGTAAAAACGTCAGTCGGTTTGTTTACATGTCATTTGTACAACACTGATTTAGCTGAAATATCACTAAATAATTAAAATTTCGTTGTTTACTTCCATTTTTTTTTTACAAATATAAGGTACTTTGCTTTCACCGCTGTTAGTTTTTGCTTGCACATGCAAATCAGCTGACCGTTTGACACTTTTCATGAACTTACAGGAAAATAAACTCCGGACTAAATCCTGTAACTTCTGACTAGCAACAGTTGCTCAGTTACTCTCTCAAATGTGTTCCCACTTACAGGTTTTATGTCAAGAGGAACGACTTCCTGTACGTTCTGACTAAATCCTGTAAACCGGACTGCTATTGGAACAGACTATATGCATAATAGCCCAGTTATGCATACTTAGCTTTGCCTGGGAGTTGTCAGATAAGAATCTGTTAAACGGGTTTTGCGTGTAAGCGATTACCCAACGCATAGCACTTAAAATGTAGAATTCTGTTGGGTTTTGATTTTTTTGCTGAATGTATGTCGAAGATATTTCATTACATTTCATTTATTATAAAATATAACATTAGCGCAATAAGATCCCAATGATCTTTTATAGTACAACTGTAACTTATAATTAAGAATTAAAATATGTTAATGTTTAACATCAAGTAATATATAAGACAAAAACAGGAACAACAAAAACTTACAAAACTCTATAGAGAGTCACAAGTGGAGCATAAGGAAAAACATAAGAATAATGTATTGATTACCCTAAACTAACTTGATAGCGGGCCTCAGAGGAAAGGGTATAACTTTGCATATGAAATAGCATTTTAACGAAAATAAGATATGAAATTGTAAAAATGAGATTTTACGCAAAATTATAACGATTTTCCGACTACCCCCTCCACTGGCGCTACTTTTCCGACTGGGAGTCTAATATTTAGTAAAGTACAGTACGTAGCGCTATTATCAATTAGCATAGTGTTTAAAATTCAACTCTGATTTAAACTAGAATTTAAGTGGGATAGTGCTAAAATAAAGTAAAAATAAGGGACAACAAAAGGATATGTATCAATAACGAAAGGAACATTTCCAGAAAAATATTCTAATTAAAATAATATGAGTGAAAGTCCTGCAGAGATGTCAAGTTTTCAAGTGGACCAGCGGGCAAATTTCCTCGCTCTTATTTTGTTGGACGCACTAGAGGATGGTAATGAAAGGTAAAAAACATGATGTTAATAAAATTTACTTGAAACCAATTATACAAATTGTAACTAATAGTGTTTAAACTTTAACTTTGCAAGCGACATAAATGCAATACTTGAAAGGAATAATGTAGATGCAAGTTTTGTCCCTGTTGAGCGCGGTATATCGCCACTGCATTATGCGTGCGGAATGGAGAACGCAGAATTAGCCTGGGAGATATCAAAAAGATTCCTTCAGGACGGTGGTGAGTTACATAAGTTTTTAAAACTTAATATTTTGAATAAATTTATAAATATGTTCGTACGTATACACACATTTAAGCTGATCCCAATGTGCGGTCCAACGAAAATATGACGCCATTGCATGTGGCAGCAATATTTGGACGTGTGGATATTGTGAAGCAACTTTTGGTAGGCAATCCTTCCCTATAAATTTTCAAAATGAATATTAACACTTAGCGAATGTAGAAATATGGTGCTCAATATGATGTGGTGGACGATGAACGTAAAACACCTATACATTATGCCATAGAAGATTGCCATTTCGAAGTGCTTGAAGCGATTAGAAACCATATTTTTCAACATAAGTACGATAGAGACTGTCAAAAGCGCAGTAATGAATGTAGACAGGACTCCAACACTCCAGCTCCAAAAACAGTAAGGTTACGTGATGAAAATGCCTCGAATATTACGCCAGTCAACAAGGTACTTCGTAACGTACTTGCCACGGATAAT